GGGGGGGGGGAAACAATGACCAAAACAAATGAAGTAAGGAAGGAAGCAAGGAAGGGATTTTATACTCCGCCAAAACCTAATGCTTAAACCAGGAAGGGAGGATGCTGCATGTAGACAGGCTTTACTTCCCATCTTCAGACTTCCAAAATAAAATAATCTAAAAGGCAGTCTCAGCTCGCCTAAGGTGACCCAATTATTTCGTCTCTCATAGTGGCTCACTATGATAACAAGTTCAACGTGATTATCACTGTAGGCAAGTGACATTAAGAGTCCGATCAGCATTCACCAATCAGTCTGATTTCTTTGGAGATCAGTTTACAAGCCTTGCCATCATTGACTGTACGGTCCAGAGTTTTCAACAAATGTGCCCAGTATTTTCAGACCTTCTGTATCCTGGAGATGACGCAACAAGGTTACTACCCCAACAGCGTAGGGCCATCCAACCATGGTCCTTCAATGTGCCCTCCTTATCTGTCCATCGGTAGAACCCCCGACCTTAACGAAGATGCACCAAGGTCCAAAAAAATCCATGGACCTGGGTGCACCAGCGATATTCGGCGCCACCCCGCTTCCACACCGGAAATACCAATCAGAAGAAGACAAATTATATCCGCAACACCTTAAAACGCAACAAATCCCTCCTCCAAACTCAACCTTACTCCACAGTCCAAACACAATGACGACCAGAAAAGGACCTTTCAGACTGGTGACAGTCAACACCGCACCTGAGCGCGCAAAGCGTCTCATCGGTCGGCTTATCACTGAACTACAAGATGACTATGAGATAATTCACGTCGACAATTGTTCAAGTACATGACCCCCAGATTACCCTTATTACCTGACTCATCTATTCTAGGCATCGATGAAGTTATTCCAAAAGTCATAGAGCATAAACCCAATGTCCTGGTACGTCACCCCACTCCCAAACTCTGATAAAGGTCTAATGATCAGTTCTCCGCTTCTATGTGGTCGCCTGAAGAAGCAAAGCAAATTCACGAAATGGCAAAGTCTATCGTGCCGGATATAAAGTTACATGCCATTCCACAGGGGTTACAGGTTGAGAGAGGTCCCGATGCTATTGTGGAGTATCTTGTTGAAAAGGTTCCGCCTCTACTGGACAGCTGAGTTACTTCACGAGGAAATGGTTGGAGTGAATGTTAAGCGCGGGCATATTGAGTTGCGTTACCCTAGCGAGAAGCTTCGATACCAATCATCTCCATCCTCCTGACTCTTCAAAAAGCCTCCCCACTTGTCGTCCAACCGAAAGGAGTTTTCTGTCGTGGTATCTCGGCGCAACAAGTGACAGGCCGATGGGCATGCCGTTAAACCCAACGAATCCTGGGATGTTAAGAACCGGAACATGTAGAACCTGTATCTCATTAGTCCAATCCACGGGCGTAAGATGAGTCACTTACCGTCCATATCTGGCAGAATGCCGCACTTCCTGTACTCTCAATACCCTCGGGTGCTTCATCGGGTACACTCGGCGTCAATACAGCGTCGTATTGCGAAAGCATACCATCTACCACCGGTCTTGCAGCTGCGATGTCATCAAAAGCCTTGACCTGTGCCGCACGAGTGATTTTCATCCTATTCTCAACATGTCCGACGAGCTGATCTGCGATACGCGTTTTGTCGACTCTGTATTCTGGCAGAAATGCTGTTCGACCATCAGAATTGAAGATAATGTTATACCAATTCGGCAGCTCCTGCAAAGAATCCGGAAACTCAATTTCATCCACCGTAGCACCCTCTGCACGGAGGAGTTCGATGGCCCGGATCATAGCGTCTACAAGACCGTATCCAGCTTGCGGCCAAACCATAGTCTTGCTAATAGCAATTTTGGCTCCTTGAAGTCTGAAGTTGGGATTCGGCGGCTGATCGTCTTCCAGCGCAAAAACGTCGGCGAGTAAATCCAAATCCTCCACACTTCTTGCATAAAAACCAATCGTATCATTAATAAGAGAAAATACCTTCTGTCCTTCTCGGGAAATTGAATTCCAGGTTGGTTTAAAGCCGTAAATACCGTTGAAAGAGGCTGGACGAATTGTACTTCCTCCAGTTTGTGTGCCGAGGGCGATGGGTGCTTGGAAGTCTCCTACCACAGCGCCAGATCCAGAAGATGAGCCGCCGGGTGTACGAGAGCTGTCGTGGGGGTTTGTTGTGGGTGGTCCTTGGGTTGTTGCTGCGAATTCGGTGGTTGTTGTTTTGCCGAGGATTAGAGCGCCTGCTTTGCGGAGGATGATTATGCTTGCTGCGTCGACTTGGGGGGCGTCGCCTTGATACAATGGGGAGTTGTATTGCGTCGGCATATCTATCCAAGTCAATCAATAAAGTTCCAACACCAGATGCAGTCGACTGACCCTTCGTGTAGATGACATCCTTCACAGCAACAGCAACACCATGCAAAGGCCCCCTCTCCTCCATCGGAACCGAATCCAACCTCCTCGCCTCCGCAAGAACCTGCTCAGGATTGATGTAAACCCATGCCTTAACCATCGGATCACGCTCTTGGATGCGCGTTAGCAGTGACGTTGCGTATTGTTCCACAGTGAGTTCGCCATCTCGGATCTTGGCGATTACCTCTGTGGCCGTAAGACTATATGATTCCGTGAACATGGCGAAGATGAGAAATGATTAAAAGATTCAATTGAGTGTTAATGGAATAAATGTGATCTGTCCTCCTCAAAGATCTGCGTCTTTTCTGCTGACCTTGGTCGTGAGCTGACATAATGGCTTCTCCACAGTCGTCACCTGAGGGTAGCCAAGGACGCTAGGCCGGCACACTATCACCGGCCACAATGTGGATCCTGGAAATACAGACTTCATGAAATAAGAACCTGATTTATACTGGATCTCTTATCTATGCCAGATGTCCTTTTCTGTAGGGAAACTGCTGTCTAAATACCTCGGCAATTTCTGTCCGCGTGGCAACCCAAATATCTTCTTTCTTAGATATATACTCCACGAAATCTTCCAATGCTTTAAATCGGCTTGGTCTTCCGATGATGCGGCAGTGTAAGCCGATTGTCATCACCTTTGGCTGCCCTTCTTCTCCTTCTTCGTATAGAACATCGAAAGCATTCTTGAGGTGGGTGTAGAAGGTAGTCGGATCACTAAAGCCGGTGACGATGTGGAACTTGAAGTCGTTGCAATCGTAGCTGTATGGAATCATAAGACAACCTTCCGGATCAGGGACATCGCGCTCGTGGGGTAGGTCGATCCAATATGGTACATCGTCGGCGTATGTATCACTCGCCCAAAGTAATTCCTCGCCCATCTCTTCATAAACTTGCGGTACCAGAGTTCGACTTCGAGGTGATGGTCGACCATAGTACCATCCCCTGGGCGCAAAACCCGTCAAATCCTTCAAATTCACGATAGCCCTCTTGATATCCTCTTTCTCTTTCTCAACAGACCAATCATGATGATCTACCCATCGATAACCATGCGACGCAACATCATGTCCTTCTTGTACACAGCGTTTTGCTACTTCAGGTTGTTTCTCAAGTGCCTGGGCCACAGCATAAAGAGTAAACTTCACATTGTTCTTGTTGAAGAGCTTGAACAATCTCCAGAAACCAACTCGAGATCCATATTCGTATTCGGACTCGGCGTTGTAGTCCCGTTCGTTTATGCGTCCTGTGCAAGGGAACTCGCGAAGAATTGATTCTGAGACGCCGTCGCCGTTTTCGATAGAATGCTCGCCGCCCTACAGACTGAGTTCAGTGATTGTACGTTCACTGGTTGGTTCTGGATTCACCTCCTCGTAATTAATGACGAACGAGACCGCTATCTTAGCGTTATTGGGCCACTTCAGCCCTACCAGGCCCTCCTCTCCATATCCTCGAAAGTCTCGAGGAAAGTCGTAATCAGGGTCTGCAGACATTTTGGATTCGTGGTGTTCTCATCTTCTCTTCGAGACTTGGCATTATATATACTCAACCCTGATTGTGATCAGTCGTTTCTGCCAAACAAAAGAACGTCATGATTGATAGATAATCAACAACGATATCAGTCATAATGTCTCGGGTGGCTAAATGAACGCCCGCTTACGCATTCTTCATTGCCAGCCTAGTCAGTGATAAGGTTATTTCGTCTCGCATCACCAGCCAATCTGGGAAAGGCGTCATGTACTTCGAGTCAGGAACTTGCAGCAAGACCCGTTGTGATAGTGAATGGCGGGGTTGAAGCGGTGATGTAGCGTAGCACTGGTGCGGAGATGGAGGGGTTCTTATCTGTTATCTGCATGCGTGATAAGATAAGGATTTGTCACTCCAGGGTATTGTTGTGCAGAGTCAAATATGCAATGCTTTGTTGTTCAAAACAATTATTCCACTGTGAAAGGATGGAAATTCAGGTTTACACAGTATTCTATACATTTGGGGTTTATTTTACTTTCCTGGTTATGTTCAATAAGCCTGTGTTGAGACTTTAGCTCCTAGTTCGTCCCCATTAGACTGCACATTGAAAATCTTGCTGATTATTGAATCGAGAATGGACACGGTTTTTGGAATCACCAAGTCATTCTATTTTTACCCCATATTCTCAATGAATATCATGGTTGTTATCACTTATATGACTTTACCAAACGTTACCGTGATGCACATAGAAAGACGTGAAGCTTTGATCGAGCCACACTCTACTGTCTAACAATGATTTCCGATACGAAGTAAATCATCACACAAGCAATGATGTCGTGTGATCCCATCAATGCTGATCATCACTCCCAGTCATGGAGTATAATTATCGCCAGTATCTTTCCCAAACTAAAAACTTTACATACCCAAGACACAACACCAAATACCAAATAAATACTAAATACCAGAAACAAACAGCAACTTCAAAATGTGCCAATTCCAAGACTCACCCAAGCCCGCAGCCGGCGAAGATCGCATCTTGGTCAACCATTGCGAGTGGAAGTTCAAGGGAGCAGGTTTCAAGACCCTCACAAAGGTCTCAGATTGTGGGTCTACGACTTGTTATCACTCAACTAGCTATGTGGAACCAAAGGAGCCCACGCCCAAGTAGTAGGGCAGGCAAGACAATTGGATAAATTGGGCTGCCAGATAATGCTGTCGGCTTTCTACAGGTTAAGCGTATAGATGTTCTTTAGTAAATCAGGGAGAGACAAGTGAATGGCAGTCACTGGGGCACCGTGCTAGCTACCTACAGCTTGGATTACTAAAGTAAACTTCAAGAAATAAATTCAGACTTCACTATTCTTGCATTCAATGTAAAACCTGAGAAGCCAGACAGACAGTACAAACAGAGCTTAGAAAGGCATGAGGGTTGAGATATATCCTGACCCACCTTTCTCGTAGGCATATTGGATCTCAAAGACGGCAGTGAAAGAGCTGAATGGGATAGACATCAAACGAAGTTGAGTTCACTACGAACGCATTCGATTTCTAACTGATGCTTTGATTCTAAATTGAACAAAAATTTTCTTATGGTAAAAAGATTGTTGTCAATTTTCACCCACGATGGAATGTACCCACAGCACGCATCGACTTCTTGTCCACTTCGCGTGAGCTCGCGTTGTCTGGAATGCTACCCTGAAACATTAGACACGAAACAACACGAAAATGAAATTCTATAACTCCATAGTCTTGGATAATTCCGCAAGAAGGCGGAAAGCTATCGTTATAGTGCAGCTTTGAGCCAATTAAGTTCAAGGTTCTTGAGAGAGTGCTTAAAAGAAGCTTATGAGAATCTTGATATATGCTTAGTACCTAGGCGAATAACTTTGTGCCCCATTCCGAACGGAAAGGCCAAGATTCGTAGCATATGTTGAGAGTAAAGGTATCGCAAATTCATGGATGTCAAAGAAGATGCTGAGAAATACTTATTTCCAGTGTAACATAATAACGTTGACAAGAATAATAACCGATTGCAGATACAATTTCTCAATCTACTTACAATTTCTTCGACGACAGGGTAATTACCCATGGCTCGGCTCTTCGCTTTTAACTCTTTACCACGAGGCTTTGAAATACACCGCGAAGGATTTCGGCTCCTTCAAAGCTTATAAACCCAATCTCTGGCGCTAAGAAGAATGATTGGTTGAATAAGGTGAATGGTGGTTGGATCGACTGTCAGCACTAGCCTGAGCAATTTGTCATTCGCCAATCTGGATCTAAGCAAAGGGTCTTTTGAGCCGCGGGAATAGAGAGGTAATGTCGTGATCGTCAACTTCTCCAAATGTATAAATGTTCGAGATGGAAGGCGCTCTTATCGACCAGGTAACTCAATCATTCAATCTCATTACCTCAAACAGTGTCTTTACAACTTAGAACCGAAATTTATCGATCAGTTACCATGTCTGCCTATAAGAACATCGCCATCGTTGGTGTAAGTCATCCCCAATCTTCAACATCACCACTCACTAACACCGCCCAAGGCCAGCGGAAGCACAGGAAATATCATTCTCAACGCTCTCACCTCCACAAACCTCACCGTCACCGTCCTTGTTCGCAAAGAAAGCAAAGCAACCTACCCCGCAAACATCAGAGTGCGCCCAACGGATTTCTCCGAAAATGACCTCACCGAAGCTCTAAAGGGTCAAGACGTACTCATCTCCGCTTTGGGCGTCGAAGGCTTCGATCAACAGCAGAAGCTAGTTGACGCCGCTGTTCGTGCGGACGTTAGGCGTTTCTTGCCTTCTGAGTTCTCATCTAGTAGTGAGGATCCTGTTGTGTTGGGGTTGTTGCCGCTTTTTGAGGTGAAGAAGAATTCGATTGAGTATTTGAAGAGTAAGGAGAAGGATGGGTTGAGTTGGACTGGTCTTGCTACTGGACTTTTGTTCGATTGGGTTAGTAGTTCTTTGCAACCAAAAACGCAAGCAAAACTAACCATGAGTAGGGTATTGCAAACGGCTTCCTTGGTTACGACATTAAGAACCGCACCGCAAAGATCTGGGATGACGGCAACAAGAAGTTCACCCTTACAAACGAGAGACAACTCGGCCAAGCTATCGTCTCAACCCTTGAACACCCCGAGGAAACGCGCAACCGCTATCTCTACGTCTACTCTGTCGTGACGACACAGAACGAAATTCTGCACTCCCTTGAAAAGGCCACCGGAGGAAAGTGGACAGTTGAAAAGACGACTACTGATGCTGAAATTGCTGAAGCGGGAAAGAGATTAAGTGCTGGAGATTTCAGTGGTGGATTCATTCTTGTTCATGCGATTACTTATGGAAATACGGAGGGTCTGAGAGCTAATTATGCCGAGGAGAAGAACTTGGGGAATGATATCTTGGGAATTGAGCTTGAGAGCGTTGATGGAACTGTTAGGCGGGTTGTTGGAAACTGATTATTATCAAACAGGCATTGTATCATTCTACCCTAACTCCACCAATATCAATCGATTTGTTACAAACCTTTCTCGACCATAAAAGCCGGCAAATAATCCAAAGTTTCCCATCGATCTCAATCAACCTCGCTAGTGGCCCCCTTCACAAGTTGCTCCAAACGACTCGGGTCTGCCCCCGTGAATTGCTTTTCAAGTTTGCCATTGCTCAAAGTGTAGAAGGTAGGCAAGGACTGAACACTAAGCCCTTTAGCGACGTCATCCACAGCATCAATATCAACCTTAGCAAAAACAACTCCAGGCCTGTTGTACTCTTCGTTTTCAGAAAGCTTATTAAAGTCAGGGCCTATAATGCGGCACGGCCCACACCAGGTTGCCCAAGCATTGATGATGACGACCTGATTCGTTTCCAGGAGTTCTTTATATTGAGATTAGTTTCTGATTTCTGTGTTGAGCATCTTGAGGGTACTTCTGATGAATCTGTTTGTGCGGTGTAGGTTTTGTCTCGATGAAAGGGAGAGACGATGAGCAGGAACCAACGAAAGCTTTTATAGAATGTGCAAGATTGTATGAAATAGGGGTAGAGGATGGAGAAAAGGCATTGTGTAAACATCGGCATCATGATCTACTTGTTCTGTAACTTGTTGTGATGTTGTGTGACACCTGCATCGCTGGCTGCCCAAACATGTTGTTGATTGGACTATCCTTGACCCTGAGTGAATTCTAAGCTTACATATTATGTAAGGAGCCTCATCAGTATCGAGTTTCACAAATAAGACCTGAAACTGGCTGCCGTCGACCAACCCGTGCCATCCTGCCATGGTTCCACCGGCGACCGGATTTTCAGTACCTGATTTCTCACCATGAAATTCCATATAGAATTCATCCGTCACTCTCAGCTACTACATTACATGGACCGGTTTAACAGTTCCAACAATCCCTGAGGATTAGCCCCGACCATTTCGTCAACCTCTTTTCCATCTTTAAACACTTTAAAGTTTGGCATGGCTCTGATACCATACTTTGCCGCAATATCGGGCGCGTCATCAATATCCACCTTAGCAAAGTAAAAATGTGGGAAATCCTGATCCAATTTTTCGAAAACGGGGCTTATCATGCGGCATGGCCCGCACCAAGTTGCCCAAAAGTCGACGACGACCAGGTTATTGTTTGCAAGGATTTCATTCAACTCTGCCAGGCTTCCAATTGGAGTAACTGTCATCTTGGTCTCGAGGAAATAGATGTGTATGGTTTGCAAGGATAATGGTGTATGTGGTTATGTTATGTTGAAGGTTAGGTGTGTCAGTGGTAAAAAGAAGATGAAGGAGAGGTTTCGAGGACAAGCAAGCCTTTTATATTTTGGAAAAAGTAAAATAAAGTGGAGTCTAGGGCGATATCCCAGCCTCGGTGTCGTCATGCATGAAATGTCTTGAATGACTTTGCTTGAGCAGAAGTGAGATATCTGAAAGCCTGAGCGTACAGGAATGTGGATGGTTGGTGTTCTTGGCGGCTATGATCGACCTCACTAGCTATCTTTAGTCTGTCTACTTGAGGGTGTATCAAAGGCCGATCCAGCCTCTTTCGGAACGCCTTTATTCAGAAGGTTGGGATTGGAATTTGACTTTTTCATACCATCTTTAAATTGCTGCTATTCCTATCGTGAGATGGCGTGGTGAAATTGAATCTTATTGAATGATATCTTCCTGCCAGAGTACCTCCAACGACAAGATACAAAATTAATCTCCAACCATTTCCATTAAACCTTGCTGGTGACCTCCTGCACAAGCTTCTCCAAGCCATTGGGGTCTGCCCCCTGCAGCTTATCCTGAAGCTCACCGTCATAAAAGCTTATAAAAGTCGGCATAGCCCGAATACCCAGCTCGTACGAAACATCCTCCGCTTGGTCAACGTCAACCTTTGCAAATACAACTCCGCTCTTATTGAACTCTTCTCTTTCGGAAAGCTGTTCGAAGATGGGACTGATAAAGCGACATGGTCCACACCATGGCGCCCAGGCGTCGATGATGACGACTTTGTTGTTGTTGATGAGGTCCTGATAGTGGGCCCGATCTTTGATCTCGATGACGGTCATTTTGAGGGTATAAGTGAATCTGGCTTTGGAAGAGAGATAGGTGGTTGGTGTGATGATGGAAGGAAGAGAAGGAGAAGAGGAGCCGTGAGCTTAAATAAATGCGGGGTAAAAGCTTACGAAAAGGTCTTATGTAAACACTGGCGTCATAATGCATATAATGTCTTAAGTTTTGTTGAGGTGCTGAGTTGTGAGACAGCTGAAAACAGGCATATGATGCTGATTGGATAATATCTGCTGCTACGGGAGAACCCGCCAACCATGCATCCAAGCTGGTCTGCCCGAAGCTACCCCGGTGTCGATCCTAACCTCGTAATCCCATCATCAGATCTACTAAACCCGGTCATGAGAGCCCAGGGCAGTAGCCAATGTCCAATTACAGTCAACTATCCAGCGTTGAAAAGCAATTTTCCCAATACCTCTATTATCCAGCCGTTGAATCTCTTCAGAGCGGTCAAAGTGGAAAGACTCGCCGAGTTAAGCTTAGTCAATACCACGCTAAAGGCAATGTACTCTGCAGGTCTTACATCAATGCTTTTGATTTGTCCCCTGCGGAGTGTAAACATGACTTTGCAACCTTGATATCCTGCCGTGTCTCAAATTGACAACACCGCCTTTTTGCCCAGTGGATTAATTTTGGCCCGGCAGGCGTCCAGATCGTGATAATCACTACATGTGTAAACTCATGCGATTAATTTTGAGCTAAATGGTAGTTACCACTTCCCTGCCCATGCCGACTACAAGGCACAGCATATCCTCAATGATCGAGTTCCAACCATGAAAACCTCCGAGCACAAACAACTTTCAATCCCCATTGAACCTTTCAACCGCGCTCTGCACAATCTTCATCAATGCAGGTGGATTGGCCCCAGACAGGGTCTCTGCGCGCTCACCATCTTCAAACACGAAAAAGGCGGGTATAGAGCGAATCCTGAGCTCCTGCGCAAGATCAGGGATCTCGTCGGTATCAAATTTGATGAAGGCAACTTTGTCCTTAATGTGCTCGTTCTCGGCGGCGTACTTTTCGAAGTAGGGGCTGATCGCTTTGCAGGGACCGCACCATACTGCAGAGGCATCAACGATAACGGTTTTGTGGGATTGAAGAAATTCATCAAATTCCTCTTTGGAATTGATTTCAATGACGCCCATCTTGAGGGTATGAAGGTGGAACTTTCTGGTAGTGATACAAAGTAGTTGAGCTTGAAGATGTGTAGTTTTGGTGTGTGGTGTTATTTATGAGTCGGAGGAAGAGATACTGACAGAGATGGAGGAAGCGGCATTTATAAATTGCGGCATCTTCTACCAACGCGGGGTAATGTCATCATAGCGCATGGAATATCAAGTTGTTGAGCTGAAATGCAAGACAGCTGATAAGCTAAGTTTGTAAACGTAATGCTGATTGGGCTATGTCTGTGCTAGTTGAGCTATCTGTCGCAGATCCCACCCCATGCAAACATTGCAACCAAGCGCCGTATTGTCGGAAGTTGGCCTCAACAATTGTACATTGTCGGCGATCTCGTAAGAGAATTCAATAGTAATTCCCCAATATCCGCCATGAACTATTGAGTCTCTGCTGTGCGTGTGAATCGAGGCCCAGCAAACACGGTGGTGCTGAGACAGTGTACACGTTCGAGTTCAAAATGATACACGGTTCCTCATTACCCTCTTGGTTCATTGAGGTATGAATATTGCAGAGTAACATCATAGTTCCCTTAATGGCAAAGTCTCTTAAAAGCCACGTCTATATCCTTGATTCGGTGAATGATAGGTTACATATAGTCGTAGCGACAAACATTATGAACCCCAGTCCTGATACACCTAATCCGATACAAGACGTAATGATATTAATTGCCTCCCTACATCCCAATCTTCTCCCTCACCAAATCCTCTCATCTATCCGGTTCAAATCCGGGAACCGTCGGTCCCTTCTCGCCGCCAATTAACGTAATAACAGTGGCAACATCGTCGATTTTGAAATGCGCCGTCAGTTCAGGCGCCTTCTCAAGAAGGAACTTGGCAAACACAACGCTGCCTTGACCGTTTTCTTGGGCTATCTTCTCGAACTCCATGTTACCGGGTTCGAAGTCGGCTCCCAAAGCGGCGACGAAGACCAACGGGTTCTGTTCGATGAGCTCTTGCAACTCGTCTTTGTTGGTAATGGTTTGAGTGGCCATTTCGATATGGTGTTTGAAAATAGGTGGTGGGCTTCGGTGATAAGATGGTTTATTTGAGAGAGGTTTCAGTGGGTTTGGGACGGCATGTATTGTCTGCTGTCAGCCCCGCACGTCATAACACAAGGTTTCTTCAATGAAGCTATTCTAATCAAATGTCACATGTAATGAGGCAAGCTGGAACTCTCTGATCTACATGTCGTCAACGGGTAGCTACTTGGGACTCTTCTGAATACCATCGTTTGTTTTATTGTGACTTGAAAAACTAACCAGTACGTATCCGAATGAGCATGCCTCTAACGGAGTTTTACTGCGAATCTGACCTTCGTAAAATGAATTGTAGATAGACATTTAATATCTATACAAGGAGTACTGTTCAGATCAATTTCAAGTCATGATAGTACCATATCTTGAGCATCTATCAGTTTATCTACAATCTATGTCTGTGGCAACATCTATGATCAACCATCAAGTCCATTCCAGAACTTCGTAATAAGCCCAGCAACTTCCTCCGCTCTATCTCGAACAACCCCATGACCCGCTTCATTAACAACAAAAACATTCTCAAACCCATACTCTTCAAGTTGCTCCTTACTAACCAAATCATCCATCTCACCCAAAACAGCAAGATTCGGCACACCAGCCTTGCCAGCCTGAGCAAACTGGGAATGAGAATCCATCACCCCGCCATCTCGGAAGATCCCAACGACTGAAGCGACATGGCCGGGATGGTTACGCATTTGCCAGTCTCGTACTGCTTCTGCCACAATTTCGCCGTTTGAGACTCTTTCTTTCCAGTTGGAAGGGACGATGAGATCGCCGCCTTCGAGGAAGTTCAGGATCCATTTTTGCGATGCTACTTCATCGTCGCCGCGCATGTGTTCGGGTGGAAAGATTGCTTCTGCGCTGAGAAGGCCTGCTGGGGCGACGAGGGTAAAGCTCTTGACTCTTTCTTGTCTCTTGGCGACGTAGCTAGCCGTGGTAGCTCCTCCGAAGGAGAAGCCAACGAGATGTGCAGAAGGCCATTTCAGATGATCCAACAAGCCATCGATCAATTGATGAAATAAGGCCGGCTCATGAGGCAGGATGGGAGTGTCGCTCAAGCCATGTCCCCAGAGATCGACCAGGACCACATGTGCATGTGGGAAAGATTTTTCGAGAGCGCGCACAAGAGGCAGCATGCCTATCGCAGGAGTCTGAACGCCATGGATGAACAAAACACGATCAATCGGTCCCTTTATCTCTGAAGGAAGTATCTGATAGTACGCCGCCTTACCATGAGGGGTTTCCAGAAACTTCGCCGACGGCAGCAATGCTCCGAAAGTCTTTACAAACTCCGCCTCTGAGGGTCCAGAAATTGGCTTTTCGTTAGAAACATTTGCGCCAGGGCGAGGAAGAACAAGTTCCGACATGATTGGTGATGGTGTTGTTGTAGAAGTGATGTCGTTGAGAGTGGAGATCGGACTATCTTCAACCGAAACCGCCGATCCTAACCGACGCTATCCAATTAAAACACCCGGTTTCTTCCCCGACCTGTCACCTCAGATCCAGACCTTCACCTTGGCCCAGTAATTGACAAGTCACCCAAGATGGACTCACCGAATGACCCTGCGATTAGCGAAGCAGAGAGAAAGTAATCCGTCTCCCAACCACTCACATCTTTCTACCTTATCGCGATCATGGCACTGATGCTTTGTCAGAAAACTCCGCAATCGGCTCTCCCAGCGCGCCTTCCGACGTCGCCAAGCAGAATGTATCCGGGAATTGCGCAACCGCGTAAACGCAGATCAGAGACCCGATAGTGAAAGGATTGAAGCACTTCAAAAGGAGAATAAATTGCTGAGACAGCAGTTGATCGATGTTCAGACGAAAATGTCGAGGTTGTTGGCGAGTGTGCAGGGGTTGAGTGACAGTGTTGCTAAGACTTTGGATGATACCAAGGATGGACACGACAACTCGGGACAGCTGGATGAGAGGGATAGTGGAAGGAATGGGGAAGCGGAGCTGGATTTGGATTCTTTTGATGCGAGTATTCTGGACTTTGACGCTCCTTTTGTCTCAGATGCCAGTCAACCTCAGATGTTGACCGGTTCGTCAGCAGCACCAACGACAAACGGTCTCAGTTCAGAACTCATCAACGTCACCGGCACAAATCCATTCTACTCTCAAATCCCAAACATCTGGACTCACGAGTACCAAATGGGAATCGATCCCTATCTCACAGCCATAAACGCATCAGCAGAATCAAGCATGGTGCTCGGCAAAGACTACGCTTTCACAAATTCGCCTTTCTCGGATCATATTCAGCTATTGCAGAAGATGTTGAAGAATAAGCTCAACACACTTGGTTTTGTGCCTGAGGGTCATCACCCCGTGCAAAGGTAAGTTCCTCGTCTTTGGGATTGAATGAAAGCTAACGGGTACAGTGTCTATCAACCAGTCCTCATGGTCCTATCAATGTTCAACAGCATGACCCGTCCAGACGTAATGGCCTGGTACGCCAAAACACGCTTCTACCACATCATCGAACTCACAGCCTGGCAATTATATCCCTCCCCAACAACATTCAACAAACTCCATCCTCGCTACCGTCCCACAAAAGCACAAATCGAAAACTCCCACCCAGGCATCATCGACTGGATACCCTTTCCATCAATCAGAGACAGATTGATTCAGTTACACTCCGCAAACCCCCACATCGACCAGATCTTCTGCGACGCAGTAACAGGCTACGTCGTCGAAACACCAATGTCTGATCTTATTCTAGGCGCACCACAAATAACAGTGTACGTGCGTGTAACAGATCTAATCAACACAATGTCCACCACCTCCGACGAAAACACAATCGCTATTCTTCCCGCACCAGACATCTCTACACTATTTTCTTCACCAGCATACGCAAGAGCAGCGTTTAATAAACTCAACATGGACAAGGGAGCAGGATATTACAAAATCGACCCCGCTTTCTTCGAAAAGTATCCGGAACTGTGGGATCAGGGTAGTGACCTTACAGCATCAGGCATACCCTTGAAACCAAAGTTCCAGAAAATTCTGACTTACCCGAAACCGTTGGATCCATCTACTGTGGAGACGTATCGAAGTTTTATCGATTTTTCTCTTGATGCGGCGAATACGATTTCGATGGGGCCTGGATCGTAAAGTGACACATCGGCCGGCAAATAAAACAAACACTTTTGATCACACCGACTGTCATTCCCGTATCATTAAGATCTGGTGATGTTGCGACCGGGCCGGTGATAAGCACATGATGTGTTTATTACTGGGGAATGCTATCGGGTGGTGTCATGAAAAACTGAGTAACGCGACCCCACAACAACGTTGACTAACACTCCACTGACTAACAACGCATCATCGAGTGGACCTCCAACAATCTATATAGAAACCACAAATTAGTGCAAAAGATCATCACACCATTACCATCAATTATTACCAAAATGCCTTCTCAAATACCCTCTCCCGTCTTTCGCTACAGTTTCATGGACGATTACAGCGAAGGCGCCCATCCAGCTCTTCTAAAAGCTCTCATCGCAAGCAACGCTACACAAGAAGTCGGTTACGGCAATGATACATACTGCGCTCTCGCACGACAACGCATAAGAGCACATCTCGGACGTGAAGATGTTGGAATATTCTTTGTGCCCAGTGGGACTTCTGCGAATGCGATTTCGATCGCTGCCTGTTTGAGACCGCACGAAGCTGTCATCGCTGCGAGTTCGGGACATATCGTTACTCGCGAAACAGGCGCCGTGGAAGCAAGTGGTCATAAAATAATCAACGTTGCGCCTGTTAATGGAAAACTTACACCGCAAACGATCGAACGGGCGTTGGATGATAACTGGCATTTTCCTCACATGGCGAAACCACGATTAGTGTACATCTCCAACGCGACCGAGATCGGAACGATATACACCAGGGCCGAAATGGCCGCTATAAAAGAAGTTTGCGAAAAGAACGGTCTGATTCTCTTCCTCGACGGCGCAAGGATAGGAACAGCCCTAGCATCCAAATCAAACGACATGACCCTTTCAGACATTCTGTCTCTGACAGATATCTTCTGGATCGGCGGTACAAAGAACGGTGCACTACTAGGCGAAGCAGTAGTCGTAAAAGACCCCCGCCTCTCCTCCGAATTCGAATTCTACGTCAAACAACACGGCTCCCTCCTCGCAAAAGGTCGAGTCATCGGCGCTCAATTCGCAGAACTCTTCGAAGGAGACCTCTACTTTGACTTGGCACGAAAAGCAAACCTGGCAGCAGAGTTATTGAGCAAAGGAATTGCAGAGGCGGGATATACGGTATATGCAGCTACGGAGACGAACCAGGTTTTTGCAGTGTTGCCGTTGGGATTGATTAGCGCGTTGAAGGAGAGCTTTAGTTTTTATGTTTGGGAAAAGTGTGGTGATGATGAGGCTGTTATTAGGCTTTTGACAACGTGGGCTACTGATGGGGGACAGGTTGAGAGGTTTGTGGAGGTTGTGCATAATTGGAGGGGATAGAATAAAAGTTTAGTTAATTAATGATTGTTTTTGTATTGAAGAAGACAGTCTTGAATATCCAGCTCATGATGATTCGCTGCCCATCATGAGGCATTGATGTCTTTGCAATTTCATGTTGAAAGACCAAACACCAAGTGACAAAGGCAGGGATTTACATCTCGAACGGTCACATGTTTTCGCGAGGAGTTCGTGATGGTTTGAATAGTACTTCGGCCTACTCCTTTTGGGATAGTGCAGATGGTTCAGCTTGGGTGTTCAAGAACTCGATACATCTGAGACATGACAGGACCCACTATCCACACTCCAGTTTGCTACCCTGTACTCGCAAGAGTGGTTGATGGGCTGGGATGTCTTTCCAGATTGTTCCTATATATAAGGCAAGACTCTGAAATTACTACAAACAGCTCGGTATTGATGTCAGTAATATTTAGAGAGTTGCACGACCGAAGACATCCGCTGAGAAGACAGTGCAATTAAGCAGTTGAGAACAAAAGTGGTTGTTTAAGCAACGCATATGTACACAATCCTCACACCAACAAACTACCAGACTTCCAGACAATGATAGCTCCCGTTCATTCAATCCAATATTCACATCTATTCAAAATTATGCAGAGTCAAAACCCTTATCAGCCCGCTCAATGATGGGCGGCGGCTTCTCAATCTTCTTGAGGAGAATATGTCGCTTGATAAAGTACGGCAGCCATACCTTGGTCTCATAAGAGATGAACTGACTCGTCGGAACAGAAAAGACCTCTGCAGAATTGTTAGTTCATGATAAATATTGTAGATCTGGAGTATGCTTACGGTCGAGTTCTTCGAGGGTGAGTTGCTTGGTTTCGCGGACGAAGCAAAAGATCATGCCCCAGGCGATCAAGTTGAGACCAGCGTAGAAGCCGAAGGCGCCGGTTTGTGTCATGGCGGCGGACATTCGAGGAAAGGTTAGACCAAGGACACCAGCTGTTCATTATTAGTGAGTGTTTCGATTACTTGACCATGTTTGCTTACCAAAGGTGTTGTTGATGCAGACAGCCCAAGCCATGCCCTGCTCACGTTGAATAGTAGGGAATACTTCGGCAGAGTATTGAAATGCGACAGGGCCTTCACCCAAAGAGTAGGCAATCGTGAAAAGATAGATGAATCTAGTCAAGTCAGTCAGATTCCTTATTTGGAGTAGGCAAAAACTTACAAGACGACTGGTCCGATTTGTGCACCTCGGCTGCCACTGTGATTGAGGAGCGACAGGCCGGCTGCAAGCAAGAAGATACACATAACAGGGAAAGTCTGGGAGATGTCAGTCGTGAGCACTGCGGAACGTGAACAATAGACTTACGGCGAGAGTAAGAGTGCGTCGACCCTTGGTGTCAATGAGAAATAGAGTCGGAATGGTAGAGACGACCTGGATAGCACCGTAGCCAAGCGAGGCGTACAGGGCCTGCGTAGGAGTGTATCCAGCGTTACGGAAGATGGTGGAACTGTAGAACGAAATGACTGCGACATGTTAGTATATTCCACCACAACCGAGACGCCGACTTACTATTGATGCCACACATCTGCTGCGCGATCATAACCGTCGAAGCACCATAATTCGCCCTCCTGATTCGTGGCACAGCAAAGCAGTCCCACAAACGCTGGAAATATCCTGCTCCCCTCGCAACTGTCAATTCCTCCTCATAGATAATCCACGAGTAGTAAAAGTCCCTCGCAGCAATGATATCATGGGCTCTCAATTTCTGCATCGACTGGAATCCCTTGGCATGCTTCCCATGCTTCATCAACCAACGCGGCGACTCGGGACAAAAGAAGATTCCCAGACCAAGGAGGAAAGATGGGATAAAGGCTGAACCGAGCTGGAGGCGCCACGAGATTCGACCGGTGTCTTTAACGATAACGTTGGCACAGAAGCCGAGAAAGATGCCGATGACGACCCACAGCTGCCAGAACATAACCAGGGCGCCGCGGATGCGTGCTGGGGCCATTTCTGCAGAGTAGATAGGAACTGTGGCGTTTTTGGCGCCGATGCCGATGCCCATAACGAAGCGCACGGCGAAGAGCGTTTGCCATGAGTGGGTGAAGCCGGAGGCGATGGGGGTAGCGGTGAGACAGCAAGCTGTGATGAAGATTTCGCCTCTTCGGCCGAAATAATGATTGAGAGGATCAACGATGAATGCGCCACTGCAAAAATTAGCGATCGTCCAATATTCTCTCCAAGATAAACTCACATAAGTCCAGCAGTCAAGAAAATGATAGAATTGACAAGACCAACAATCCACTGATCGCGAATACTATTCGCCTCATCAAGACCAAATTCCTCGGGAAACGAAAGATTGGCACCGTTGGAACCGGTCTGATCCCAACCTTGGGTGGCGGCGCCGATAGCGCAGAGAGAGATGGAGTACCAGAGCATCTTTGGCCCGTGCCACTTGTGGTCTCTTTCATACTCGAGGGCTTGTCGTTCATCTTCCTCGAGCTCCTTGACCATATTGAAGCGGTTAGCGTCGCGAGCCACCAAAGCTGCGCGAGCGAAAAGTTCGGCGTGTTCGGACATGCCGTGGTTCTGGGCGAAGAGACGGCCATCGTGAGCGGCTTGTTCAGGTGTCACTCTCTGATAGAAGCAAAAAACGTTAGTAAGCGCTTGTGAACAGGGATTCGGGTCGCCAAGAATCTAGGCGATCGCCAAGAGATGTTCCCGTTGCCAAGAAATTCAACGACATCAAAACGTACCTGCAGAGGATTCTCAACGATGTTGAGAGCGGTAGATCCACGACGAGCACCGCTGCCGGGAGGAATGTCGGAGTGATCGCCAAGGCCATGTTTCTCATTATGAGAAGCCTGAGGAAATTCGGGGCCCAAATCTTTGTTGTCCATGATGAATTGAGAAAGAAGAGGATGTGTTGGACTGAGCTGGCCAAGAATTGAGCAAGGGAGGAGATCAGCGTAAGATTAAATACCCAGAGACAAAAGATCCCTTGCTTGGTTGCAGCCCGATTGAAAAGAGCGACCCCAGCTGGAGCTAGAGCAATTTCCCCGCTTGTCTGGGGAGGAAGAAACGACCAAGGCTAGTCTCAGCAAAGGTTTGGGGAAATGATCAGCAGAGTCTGAGTGTTTCTCATCCCCGGCGCATCCCCATACTTTTGCGAAAGGGTGTGATGAATTGTCTGTAGGGGCTGGTGAGTGGTGGGATGGGGAGGAGAATTGTGGAAACTTAAGGTTATTGCTTTGAAGCAGGGGTCTTTGCTGTTGTCCTCGGGGATGGGGTTGCACTGATGATGAGGGTTGGACAGATGGTGTTTGAGGGACATAATCAGCCAGCCATTGACCAGACAGTCGCAGTGGTCAATCAACCCAAGCAGAATAACTGCCAGTACAGAGATGTTCCATCTCAATCAATTCCTCTGAATAATGATTCACTGGTATTTGCCCCAGTATCAACGACAACCGCTCAAACAGCTTCCCCATGCCGCTAAGAAAGTTGGAGAAGCTGTCCTACCCCTCCAATCAAAATCCAAACAAGCACACCTTTGCAAAAAGCCGCTGAGCACCTCGAAATTGGAGGTTACACTGGCCAGTACGTACCAATTAATTCGGCTGCCTAAACGTCATCGGATAAACGGCACGAAAATGACGTCGTTCGCCAAGGCAGCCATATTTCGAGAGTTAAAGTCTTGGCGCTAAATACCAGGCATCAGAATAAATGAAGCACTAAAGAATCTGGACTCTGTTATTTTACTGACAAGGTTATGGTTCGATTAAAATATCCCTCAAGAATTGACTATGATTGAGATGGGCTGTTGTAATATTGAGCGCTTTGTCGTTACACAACTGGTGCTGAGACATTCCTCCTCGTAAATGAAACCATCATTGACCGCTTCATTCTTCCCAATTCGGGGTGGTAGAAACGGAACGATCGGGTAACTCTGTTCTTGGCTCATTTACTGGCGTGATATTCTCGGTCCCGAGCATTTGCCATTGACTTTCTGGGGTGATCTTATGTCCGTTAGATAATCTTAACACCCAGTCCTTCTAGCGGGCGTTGTCATCTGATAGCTCGATTATTTGACTAATCATTTCTCTTGCTCTCTGTCAATCACGACGATCTCTTGAAGCGATGATCAGCCCATCAGCTTCACAATGAACATCAAAGCGCGCACTTGTCGTGGGTTGTCTTTGAAGGCGCACCGAATCGCATCTCACCCTCTCAGCCCAACCTTAAACTTATGCTTATGGTGATGCATCAGGCGTACTGTGCGGGCATTGGGAGTGATGCATAATGGCTTTTGAGAATAATTGAACGGCGATGTCATCTCAGATGATCCCCGTGGGAAAAGGCGCCCTTCATTACATCTGCGACCACACATCATCCTGGTCTTTCTTGCGCCCAGACGTCATAAGCGCAAACATGTCCGCTTACAGGCCAGTAGCGCATGTCTCGGATGACAAAGGAAAAGACAGAGACTGGACGTGAGCGACTGAAGTAAGCCCACCGTTTTTCTTATCTTATCAGCCAGACTCTACATCCAGCGTTTCCTCAATTTCGCGACAGGTGTTACAGGAATAGTACACTAGATTACCTCACGCACTTATAATGGTGGACGAAAGAACATTAATTGAAGCTACTTCAAATACTGGTATCTAATAAACATAGACAAACTCATCATTCTTAGAATCCGTAAGATCCATAAACGCATTCTGTCCCAACTGCTCATCATCCTCCGCATTAGCCACATACCGATGCTCCATACTCAAATCCCGAATCTTGGCAGGCTTCCCATTCTTTACCCGTCTTCGCTCCTGCAGCTTATTCAAAAACATCAAATTCACCAACTGCAAAATAATAACACCAATCATTGCTCCAGTGATACCCATAGTCTTGGTAAGGCCGGGCTTGTAGTATGGTGCGTCCTTGGAGCTGAAGAGTAGAGGGCCGATGATGTTGCCTGCTGATACGCCGATGTTGTACAGGGACATGATGACGGATTTCTTGGTTGTGCCCGCGATGTTGGAGATCATCCAGGACACGATGAGGGGGTTGCCGCCAAAGAGGAAGGCGAGCATGTAGTAGGCTGCTAGTAAAGGTGCAGTGCTCGAGCGGTCGAGTTGGTGGAGCATTACTGCACCGGCGAGGACGGGCAGCATTACTGCGATCAAAAAGGCGGACTTGATGCGGTATCGATGGGCGAGGTAAGAAGCTGGGAAAATGACAAGAAGTTGAACAGCGCCAAATGGGATGTTGAGAAGAGACGTGACACCCTTATCGAAGCCAAAGCCACCGACAATAATAGGTCCAAAGGTATTCGTGACAGCAGCAGTAACGTTAAGACACAACGCCATACCGATGAAAAGCCACGTCTTGGGTTCAATTAACGCCTCGAAAGCCTGCGACCAGGTAAAGTTTCGACTACCAGTACCAGTCTGGTTTGCCCGGAGTCGCTCCAAAGTCTGAAGCTTCTCATGCTCCGACAGGAATCGAGCAGAGGGGATATCATTGTCGAGAGCGAAATACACCACCGGCGCTGTAATAACGGTGATGAGGCCAGCAAACAGGAACAAAATGCGCCACGACGCAAGAGATCCGTTGATCTGACCAAGACCAAATGAGAGCGCGGCAGCAAACATGTTTGCCGCACCGTTAGTACCGTACCAACAAGCCACCCTCATCGGCTGCTCCGCGCGACGATACCACTGCGCCGTAATAACAGAAAAAAGCGGTAAACAAGCCGCTTCAAACAACCCCAGCAAAAAGCGTGTCGCGAGCAGACCTTCGTAGGTAGTACAAGCAGCCATACAAGCCTGAGCCGTTCCCCACCCAAAGACAAGACAACTCATAAAAATACGATGAGGAACTTTAACCATGAGCCACGACGAGAAAGGCAGCCAAACGAGTTGGGCGATTGGAGCCATGGAGCTGACCATGGAATATTCGTTTCCTGAGAGGTTTGTGTCTTCGCGCATGCCCCAGACTGCGCCGTAGCCGAGGACGGATTTGTCGAGGATTTGGAGGAAGTAGACCCATACTAGGATGGAGAGGATGTGTTTGTCTGTTTTGCGACGGAGACGTTTGTTCTAAGGTTGTTAAATGTGATTAGACGCGTGTAAGGGGAGGGTGAATTACGTCTTCTTCTGTGACTTCGACGTGTTGGTCACCGATGAGTTCAGCTGCGCGGTCCGCATGGTTATTCGGGGGAAGTGGTTTCGATGGTTGGGATTCAATATCTTCGGTGTGTTGTTGAGAAGGCTCATCATCAGATTTCGACATGATTGCGATAAAAAGCAAAACGTTGAGAAACAGTTGTGGATAAAGTTAAATTGCGCAGGAACAACGGTCTTCTTATCCTCGTGGTAAGTTCCATGCATAAACTCAAAAACAATGGATCTCCCCACGGGGAAGCGAATCTGGGGGAGGGGAAGAAAGTGGACCGCTAGATTCCAAGCTTTGGGTGACTGTCGACTGACGATCATTACTTGATTTTCTTGGTGTTGTTCATGCCTCGGACCATAGACACGAGTCATGCACGCGGGGTTAATACTACGTCATTTTTCAATAGCCGAAGACGTGGGGGTTTTCGGCAATAGATTTAGTAGGGAGTCGGCAAATGAAAGGAGGCTAAGGAGCGGCACGTGAGGGTGAGTGTCGACCTTGCGCTGAATCTGGTACGATCTCAGGAGAATTTGCGTGGGATGGTTCCTTGGCTGTTGGTTGTTGAGCGGAAGCTTTCCCCGCGTTCTGTGCCGCAGGTTATTATTCTTGGGCACGGAGCGAATGCCGAAATGTGGTGCAAGAATGGTTTGCAGACGTGGGGGTTCAAGCTGGAATGAACAGATGTGTCTTTCCCATGAGGAGCCGGTTATGCATGTAACGATGTTTCGATCGGAAAGGTCCAGTTCAGCCCGTGCCGGATTGTCTTTGCACATGCTGCAGAGGCAGAGTTGTGGGATAACATTCCAGCATACTGGGTACTAGCAAAGCTAACACCACAACATCACACAATCTCTCTAAATCATAGGCGTGGGTCGGATTTGTTTCCGGTACGTTGGTCCAATGTTTCGGCAAATGAGGTTCTGGGTGGAAAATTTGGGGTTTCACACAATTTGGAATTCTCGCCTGTACAGACTCAATCTTACCAAGACAACGAAAACTGAGTAAATCCACACATAGGAAATCGTTAGATCATGTTTTCCAATTGCCCTAGCAGACAATGGTCATGTGGTGCTTTGCAAAACCACCATACTGAAGTCTGCAGGTTAGGTTTCCCACTCGTTAGCGTTGCTTACCCCAGATTTTTCAGCACGTGGGGGCACAAACCGGTTTCCGCGTGGGGGTCACATTCAAGTGGAGTCCTTAGATGAACTCATCATGTTACCGGAGTCAACGCCGATAAACCGAGAATAGAAAAGTACCACCTTCTACTTCCATCTCCTCAAGCTCAACCAACAACAAAAATGGCAAAAATCGCATCAATCAGATACTACCGTGTAAAGCCACGATGGCTCATGGTGAAAGTCGTCGACGAAAATGGTCAACATGGATGGGGTGAGGCGACGCTTGAAGGACATGATCTTGCTGTTGAGGGGTGTCTGGATGAGATGATTCCGAGGATTGTTGGACAAGAGGCCAAGTAAGACCACATAACCTCTTGGATTATTTGTTGCTAATGAGGTCAGTGATATTGAGAATATCTGGCAGACGTTTTGGCGACACAACTTTTATCGCGGCGGACCGGTTTTCATGTCTGCCATGTCTGGAATTGACATTGCACTATGGGATCTGAAAGGTAAGATCGAAAGTTCTGTTCAGTATGCTTAGAGTTCACAACTTTCAGGCCGTAACTTGAAGGTTCCTATTTATGAGCTCCTAGGCGGCAAAGTAAGGAACAAAGTCCAAGTATACTGTTGGATCGGCGGCGACCGTCCCTCAGATGTCGAAGCAGCAGCGTAAGCTACTCTCTCCTAACCAAAATCCCTTCTAACAAAACCAAGCAAAAAACGTCTCGAGCAAGGCCTAACATGTGTAAAAATGAACGCCACCGAAGATCTGGGCTGGATAGACTCTCCCTCCGCCCTCGACAGCACCGTCGAACGTCTCAAACAAGTAAAAGCTCTCGGTCTCGACGCCGGTCTCGATTTCCACGGTCGCTGTCACAAAGCCATGGCGAAACAACTCGCTCGAGCACTAGAGCCGCACAGACCTTTATTCATTGAAGAGCCGATTCTCGTGGAACATCCTGAAGCAATCAAGAAATTATCTGATCAGACGGTGATTCCTATTGCTTTTGGGGAACGGCTGTATACGAGATGGGATGTCAAGCGTTTTCTTGAAGATTCAAGTGTTGATATTCTTCAACCGGATATAGCACACGCAGGCGGTATTTCCGAAACGAAGCGCATAGCTACCATGGCGGAAGCATACGACGTCGCTATAGCGCCGCATTGCCCATTAGGACCTGTCGCTTTTGCAGCGTCTGTGCAGGTAGCCCTTTCAACGCCGAATTTTGCTATTTTGGAGATGAGTTTGGGAATGCATTATAATACGGAAGCTGGGGATATTGATTTACTTACGTATCTCAAGGATCCTAGTGTTTTTGATTTGGAGGGTGGTCATGTAAAGGCGCCGACGGGGTATGGATTGGGTATTGAGATTGATGAGGCGATGGTTATTAGGATTGCGAAGGAGACGGAGCCTTGGCAGTGTAAGACCTTCCATGGGCCTGATGGAGGGATTCGCGAGTGGTAGACCATTTTGAAAGTGGTTCAATCTAGAACAATGGCATTCTATGTTTCATTGAGAATTTACTAAAAAGAGTAAATACCCTCTTTTACGGTTGAGCTTGGCAGTCGTCTTTCGATCGCTTGTTGCAGGTACCGTTGCGGTCTATGAGCCAATTGAATCAGACATTCAATTCCGACTTTCAGACAGGAACATAACAACAGGTCAAATCATTCGCCCAATAGTAAGTATTTCGCTTCCGGTAGTCATATTTATGTGGAATGCTGGCCAATAATGTAACCTCGTATCTGTATAGTAAGCGGGTTTGTATAGTCAGCGGGCACCAAAACGTGTAAGCAATAATTCCTAGATTAGCTATTATGCTTAAAACTGACTTCCGATTAGCCTATTCGGAGCTCAATATCTCGTCGAAATTAGTTCGAGCCTCAAGACATTGAAAAATGACACCACGTTAGGTTAGCAATGTTTTTTGAAGGCGGTAAGTCGCATGATCCCGGGTTAAACATTTCATGCCCTGATGCCTGAGATTCTTGTATAAATATGCGCTCCGACATCTCTTATCTGAAAATCAATCACTACTCAACTATCACTCTCAAACCAACAATCACTTCTTACGATCCAATCATTATGAAGTTCACTTCGTTCGCTGTCGCCTTGGCTGGAATCACCTCCGTCAGCGCTGGTTGGGAGTCTGTCTACATCGTCAACTCCCGCAAAGGCAATGAAGTCTCCAGTGGGTGCGCCTACTATACCGACAACGCCAACGCGTGGGGACGCCGACCTGATGATTACACCGACGTCACCCACGGACGTGTCCACAACTGGGAAGGCAAACGTACAGCCTGTAAGTTTCAACACATATTATGATCTGAGAAGGTCTTTAGTCTAATAATTGTCAGGTCGATTTGGTAGTGGTGTCACTTTCAATGTCGACATCAATGCCGACGCCTATGAGCAGAGAAACGGCGCGTGGGTTGGGGGCGGAAATAATGGATTCAAGCAGTTTACTTGCCACAAGACTCACGATAGGGCTGTTGTTGTTCCTACCCTGTATACTGTGGATGGATGGACTGTTCAAGGCATTTACTGGTGCAGGGAGTATGTTGGAGGTAAGCGAGATTGGATTGCATAGAGTAGCCACGGCTATGGTTCATAGACCAATCGCTGGCTCCTCGGTGTTATTCTAGACTTAAGCATTACTTTCAGGAGAGTGTTGACTGAGCACTCTACTATGGTCTAATGAAATCAAGAAAACATTTGTGGCTTATCAGAGATTTTCAATCCGATTACGACATGTGAACGGTGGTCGGTCTTGGGAACTATCCCAGGCTGGGATACTCGAATTCGCCTCTTCATAGCCTTGCCCACCTTCAAGGTGTTCGGTGACTTGGCATCCTGATCAGACCAACGGGGTTTCTTGCTGGGGAGGAGATAGTAGGAAATCAAACCCGAGAAAATCCAATATTGACCCGTTAAAAGAGTCATCAAGTGACAGCCACTCGGGATTACTGTAAATGCCTCAACATGGATGTCAAAATCGAACCAACCACTCAACAACCAAAGGTACGTCAGGAAATCGTCCACTAACAGAATCGTTGTCAATAAAGTGTGGGAACTCACCAAAATCGCCACTCTGCTGTTAGTACCCCGGCTACCCCCAACCGTCCAACGGGTCCAGCCTACTGGTCCGCCAGAGAAAAAAAGCAGTTTGTTAAAACTTAAGCATATTCTTTACCTTAACTGACTAATGTGCGTGGGTCCATGATCCACGGGGTTATGGCTCAATTCGTCCAAGGTCAATGCCAAGACACCTTGATAGATACAGGTGCGAACCCGGATAGACAGAAACACCATGGTGAAGGATTTTCTAGATCGGATGAACAAAGACGCTGATTTGTCAATTGACCGTAAATTAACTGGTAATGACGCCACTGCGAGGCGATTTCTGGTTTAGTTACTGGGTTGTTTGGTGATGTTGGGTTGAATTTCACTCATTTTGCGGCTGATGCCCCCACGACAAGCACCAAAAAGTAAACATGAGCCAATAGTTTATGCAAGGTCTAGATTGTTCGGTCGTTCTTTGGTTGCATGTTTCCACATTATGGGAACCCGGATGCTACGATAAACATGCAAGGCCAGTCAAAGACCTGTATAAATAGCCCCAAACATCACCTGCATAGTCCATCTTGTCTCCTCAGCCTCTCACAGTCTTGACAAGCCTTTCAATCCAAACACTCTTCAAGATGATGTTCAAGTCCACCACCGCTGCCATGCTTCTCTTCGGAGTCGCAAGCGCCACTCCCATCCAAGGCCGCGCTGAAGCCAGCACCACCAAGTCCGCCTCTACCTCCTCTCCCACCAGCGCCTACGACTGGTCTGAGGGCTGGACAAAGGACTACCCCATCCACCAGTCCTGCAACGCTACCCTCCGTCACCAGCTCTCCAACGCGCTTGACGAGACCGTTCAGCTGGCGCAGCATGCTAAGGATCATATTCTGCGCTACGGGCACAAGTCTGAGTTTGTCCAGAAGTACTTTGGCAATGGATCTACTGCTCAGCCTATTGGATGGTACGACCGTGTTGTCAACGCTGATAAGACGGGAATGCTCTTCCGATGTGATGACCCTGACAAGAACTGCGCCACTCAGGATGGTAAGTTACCTTACTCTGGATTTGATGACTGAGACTAACTATTATAGCCTGGGCTGGTCACTGGCGAGGCGACAACGCCACCTCGGAGACCGTCATCTGCCCTCTCTCCTTCGAAATCCGCCGCAACCTCGACTCTGTCTGCAACCTAGGCTACACCGTCGCCAACTCCAAGCTCAACACCTTCTGGGCCACCGACCTTCTTCACCGCGTTCTCCACATTCCTATCATCAGCGAGGAAACAGTCGACCACTTCGCCGAGAACTACACCGACGCCCTCGCTCTCGCCAAGAAGGATCCTTCCAAGAGCGCCATCGACAGTGATGCTCTGCAGTACTTTGCCATTGACGTCTGGGCCTATGACATTGCTGCTCCTGGAAAGGGATGTACTGGTGAGGTTGAGGAGGAAGAGGAGGAGGAGAAGCCTACTGCTACCAAGGCTGATTCTTCCAAGCCTAGCGCTACTAAGGAGGCTCCTAAGGAGTGCCATACCCATGATGATGGTGTTGTGCACTGTTCCTAAGGAAGATTGGATTTAGATAGATAGCTTTCGATTCTTATGACCCTTTTTGTTGAGCTTTGCTGGACGACTGGTCTTCTTGATAGAGAGAAGATCTAGAAGTACAGATTCTGGTCTGCTTTGGTAGACTGGGAGGCCAACCATGATTTAATGATAATAGACTATGTTTATATCCACAAGACAACTAGATCTGAATTACGATGTGACATGAAATTGAAATTGAAATTGTTCAATAAGAAGATTCCTTGAGATAATTCTCTCTACTGCAGACTATCTGAGAAAGGATCATTTTAGTTAATCCCCAAGTCCATTACTTCCTTGATATGCTTACACAAGCTACCGAGTATCCATCCTTAAGGAGCCAATATTCGCTGCTGAAAACACAGGCAATATCCCTCCCGGATCCTCCAACCTCCCAACCCTCTCCTCCAAACTCTCCTCCCCGTCCATCAACTCCAACTGCCTATTAACCAACTCCTTAACCTGCCCCCTCATACCAACCATCTGCTCCCTACACAACTGACAATACGTTTCTAAAGCCTTAATCCTCTCCTGCAAAGCCTCTATAACCTCCCACGCAGCCGAACTATTCTGATAAGACCCCTTGAGCTGCATCTCCGCCTCTTCCTCATTCCGTTCTACCGTCTCTTCTAAATCACTGATTCGACAAACAAGACTTTCGAGTTGATAGCTTCCTTTTTGATGAAGAAGTGTTTCGAGATCTTTTACTCTTTGTTTTAGAGCTGTGATGTCTTCGTTGGAGTGTGGGAAGGTGGCTGGTGTGTGAAAACATGAGAAGTGGCCGCAGTAGCATGTTGCGCCGGGGAGAGAAGTGTTATGGTGGAAGCCCATACATCCGCACCGGTGGCCTTTTAGAGCAGGTGTTGTGAGGATGTAGCGACATTGGCCTTTTGGTAAATTTGTGGATTCTCCTGGTGGTGCCGATGCGGATTGTGTTGTGCGGTCCAGACCATGGTCTCGATAAGATTTGGACATCTCTGCGGCTTAAATCGTCCTCCGGTAATAGACTTTTGGAGAGCTTTGAGGAGATGAAAGAGAGGGAAATGAGGATTCCCATTTTATTCCAAAGGCATCGCCACTGCTCACACGACCGGCCCGGTGGAAGACCTCGGTGTCAATGCCGAGGGGGACGTGGGGGTTCCTATGAGGTTTCTTTAGAGTAAGCAATCGGCGCTAAAGAAGAACATCCCACGATCTGCGGGGAAGTGCTTCGGGATTAAAAGTGTTGGTGTTGTTGCCGTGGAATGCGGGGAGCTACATAACGTTACATTATTCACATGATGAATGAAAAACCCGGTATCGGAGATAATTGTCATTGAGTATAGCTTTGGTCTATAGTTTACCTATTCTATGGAGTGATCACTATTTCTCCTTCGCGCTCATCAACCTTTTGTTAACTCCCAGCAAAACAGCATAAAGCGTCTCGATAGTCGCAACATCAACCCCCAACTCCCTCCCCTTCCGAACAGGATATCCCAAAATGACTTCCACCTCCATCGGCTTCCCATTCTCACAATCCGTCCTCATACTACTCCCAATAGGCTGCATACTCCAGATCTTATCCATCAACCGATCAATAAGATCATACTTGAGCGGCACATCCAAAGCATTAGCTACATCAATCACCTCCTTCATAAGCCGTCGTGTCATTGGTGTCGAGAGGTCAGATGAAGTTAGCCAAGTGTGTGTGTCCAGGAGTGTTAGTGCTGTGAGACTGTTCCATGCTGCGTTCCAGACTACTTTTTCCCAGCGCTGGACTTGGATCGAGGGGACGATTTGGAAGATGGTTTTGCCGATTGACAGGAGGGATTCGAATTGGGAGAGGTGTTCTTCGTCCGTCGTTGTGGAGGTGGGTTTGTTGGGATAAAGACCGATTTGCATGTCTTCGGATGTTGTGTGGTGCACGATACCAGGTTCTGGCTGTCGTGCTCCTACCCATGTCTAGAACCTGTCAGCCTGGCTTTGGCAGTGTAAACTTTCAGAACTTACTACGCAGGAAATAATAGTTGCACTGGGAAAACGCTCTCGAAAAGCATCTTCATTGCCCACACCGTTTTGGATGATCACAATCGTGGTATTGTCCCCAACGCCAGGAGCTATATCCGCAGCTGTACTAGCCTGGTCGACTGCCTTGTTCGTACAGACGATGAAGTCAAACGCCTGGTTCGCATCCTTGACTTGTCTCAGGACTAAACATCCCAAATCAGCATCCCGTTTTCATCGTGTGTTTGCTTAACTCACCACTATCAGGTTTCACATGGTGTTTTCCATGGTTCTCACTGTCAATGCTAATACCATTCGCAGCAACAGCCTCATAGTTCGATCGTGCAACGACTGTCAAGCGAACATGCTCTCCACGACTGAGTACGAAAGCGTAGAAAGAGCCAATGCTTCAAACATGTCAGTTTTTGACCCAAGAATTGATCGATTGACTTACGCCCCCAGGCCATAGACCAATACTTCCAACTTTTTATCACTCATTTTGACAATTGCTTTACTGGCAAAAAACGTGGTTTTGGTCGGGATTTATGTGTTACTTTTCCAAAACCCCTCACTTCAGAATAAGCGGGTTTCGTCAGCGGGCTTTTCCCCATGCCAAGCTAAGGGCGTGGGGGTTGCCGAGATGCATTACCGAAGACTGGGATGATTCGTTTCTGCTGCTGCATGATGTTATTGTCAAGTGTACGTATTTAAAGTCCCTGTTATCATTAGTCAGGGTACGTCGGCTCTCTTCTTGTTTAGACGCTCATGGCCAAGCCATGTCGTTGGAGTCATGTCCAGCCTAGCCCGCATTTGAAAAATGGAAAAGGGTTCAGCTGGGGCTAAAGTGTTCGCAGGGATGGGAATTAATCTTGTCTCTATGCGTTCACTTATCGAAGATGGTGCGCCGTAATTCCTCGTTCAAATCCATAGCACGAGGACTTATAGTATCTTGCTTCTTCATATAACCTTTGTTCCAGAGAAGAACCTCGCTTGGGCTTAACGGGGATAATAGATTAGACCCTGCCAGGATGATTCGGCAACACATCTACAAAATGCTTACGCTCTGGTGACAAGACACAAAATAGGGCGATAGAGTATAGGGTAGGCTGTCTGCTAAGTCTCGCAGGAGATTGCACGGCTGAGTAGAGCAGGTACCTTATCGTATCTTATCTTATCGTACCGGTCCTCCAAAGAGGCCTGCTGCTTCACCAGAACGGTTTGCACGCCAGGCCGTTACGGATTCCCCACCGCGCATTTCATCACCCATTAACCCTCCGAACCTTGAACAAGATCGGCTTCTTCGCCTTCAATGTCAAACTCGGATTCCTCATCTCCACATCCCCCAAAACCTCCATCTCAAAATCCCTAACCAGCCCCAGCAGCAAAACCTTGAAGTTCAACATCGCCAGCGCCTTGCCGGGACACATCCGTGGCCCGTTGGAGAATATTTCCATGGCATATGGACTCAGAGCAGCACCCTCCCATCGTTCCGGCCGAAATGTCTCGACGTCGTCGCCCCAGATGTGAGGATTGAGTTGGATCATGGCTGGTACTATTTGTACCGTCGTGCCTTGGGGAATGTCAACCCCCGCGGCGGTCATGTCCGTCTGGGCTTCCCAGGGTATCATTATGATCGGGGAATAGAGGCGTAGGGATTCGCGGACGACGTTCTCGAGGAAGGGCAGTTCGTCTATCGCTTTGGCGGACATGTCGTTCGTATCTAGCGATTGGATCTCTTTTCGTAAACGATCCTGCGACGCGGGGTTCTTGCCAAGTGCGTATGCCGTCCAGATTAAAGCGCTGGCGGTCGTGTCGTGCCCGGCAGCAATAACCTGCATGGTCTAACCCACAAATTAGCATGACATTATTGAGTCAAGATCGGAAACCCACTCACAATATCAATCAACTCGTCCTTCGATAGCCTCTGCCTTTCCCCAGCGCTCGCCTCAATCATTCTTGTCAACAAGTCGTCCGAGAGCTCATCTCCGCTTGCAGCCTCCACCTCAGCAGTGCGTTGCTCAATCAGCTCCGCCATCATGGTCCTCAGCGAAGCTTTGGCGCGAATGAAGTTCAGATTGGCAGACACAGGCAGCCACCGCAGCGGGATGAATGGATTGACGAAGCTTATAATCTGCCCAGCAATAGGCTGTGCAAGAATGTCGTTGTAGCATCGTTCGAAGGATAGCGGGGAGGACCGGGAGCGAAAGTCGCGTAGTTCTTTGCCGAGGAGGGAGACACCGATAATGTCGAGCGTGACGCGGGTTATGAGGTCTTCGACTAGTCAAGGTTAGATAAGCGCGCAATGGCAATGTGTCTGATTCCATACTCTCGATGGTTCCATCATCAGTCCGCCCCAAGGACGTTTCGATCTCGCGATTGAGCTTGTCGGAGTAGGCCACGAACGTCGGAAACAGCTTTCGTATACTCGGTCGCGATAACGGTCCTATTCACGTCAACACAACACGCGCATTAGTACTCTTTCGCACTCACCTGCAATGATGCGCCTCAATCTCTTGTGCTGATCCCCAACACTGAACAACAGCCCGACACCCAAAAACTCCCCTACCAAAGTGTGGAAAAAGCCTGGTTTGGCAAACAGGTATGCGTTCGTCTGCAGCACCTCCCGACACGCTTCGAGGCTATTCACGAGTAAAACCTCTTGATTCAGCCAGGAGAGACACCTGATGAAAGGCGCGTCAGGCCAGCGTCGCATCCACTGGAGGTACAGGTCGTTTGGGCCCGCGCCGCGGAGGATGCGCAAAGCATGACCAACGAGAAGCTGATGATCCTATGACGATGAAAGGGAGCGTGTCAGTTCCAGGAGGGGACAAAGGTTAACGATCAACGCATCTTACCTCTGGTCCTGGGAGATGTCGCAGTCGCGAAGAGTGCGGGCGGAGGGCATTGGTGATGAAGGAGTAAGAGATGAGGCCAGCAAGACTCAGTGCTATGACCCAGTGGAGTGTCGAATAAGTGGGGTCCATTGCCCTGGAGTTAGAGGTGCGCTTCACGAGCAGAAGAGGAACAAAAGGACTTGGCGCCAGGAATGTCGCAATGAATGCGAGAGATGTATCTTTAAAGGAATCTTACCATGAATATTAATCTATCACTATTGCTATTATTTATATTCTGCATCACTTGGTAAATGCTGCTTGTCTGGCTCATTTAACTGGAGCGCATGCTTCTCAGGTCGCCGCTTACTCAGATACACCCCCCTTGCTAAGTGCGCGGGCAGCAACCCGGGCTTCAAAACGGGCGCTGCAGCCCATTAGCTATAGCGCTTACAGGGGCAGCTCAGATAACAGCTACAACAGCAGCCACAGAGGCTACACCTTCTAAAACTCTCAACTGCAGCATTGATCTACGGCAGGCTTCAATTCACAGCTAAAAATTGCCTTCTTGTCACTTCTTTCTTCATTTCAATCGCATGTAGTTAGTAGGTTCTTCAGCGCAATTAATAGGGGTGGTGGTCCAAAGTTACAGGACTGGCTCTGTGTGCACTGGGACTGATGGTAGTGGTTCCTACGGGCGGGCACCCGAAAGTGAAATGACCAAATGGTGTAATCATGTCTACAATAAAGCTAAAAAGACACGGAGACGTTCAGGTCTGCGAATGAACAGAACATGCGGACATCTCGTCGTGGAGTAAAAGTCTTCAAATCTCGATTAACAAAACTAATTCCAGGCGACAGCTTGCCATAGCTCAACGTCGTCAATGGTTTTTTTCCCGCTCAGATTTCCATATTTGCTAAGCATCTCATCCGTGCAATCCACCAATTTCTCCCTGTCAAAGTACTCGAGAGTAATGTCCAGAATATGCACCAATGGCGTGCAGATGTCGAACCAACAAGAGTCACGTCCAACAGGATTCAGGGCACGGTGTGATTCAACCTCCCCCGGTTCAATTTCTTCCTCCTTAATGATGTTCTTGTAGCTCCATGGTTGATCGAGAGTGAAGTTGCATTGTAGCACGGAACTCCGTTTGTCAACTGGTGTAATCTCTGTCATGGATCGTCGTGTCATAAAAGGGTAATCGGGGTGGTCGGGAGCCGTGAATATGCCTCGGGCCACGATGTCGGAGTTCATGGTTAACCCTGCAATCATAGGCTTCATGATGGTGTTGAACATTTCGGTTGAGTAGTTGAGATCGGGGTCTCCGTCTAGAGTCAAAGTGTAAGATGCCAAAGACATTCCTTCATCGAGAATCTCCGTTGTGTGTACCACCAGCCAGTCGACAAATCCTTGTATGACTGAGGACGTGAATACTTGATGCGACCCCATGTGGAACTCCTCATCCTCTTCATCCACTACGGTCTCGGCTGAGTGGGCCACTTGACCAGGTGAAGGTGAATGTCCGCACGTTCTCATGATGAAACTGCGCCATAGGTTGACGCGATGGTCGATGTATAATTTCGGGTTCTCCCTACAGAAAGGGATCAAGCCAAGTGGGTGACATTCTGGGCGTGGCCCCGAAAGCCGATCTTCGTTGATGATCAGATGACGTATACAGAGGCGCTGACGCTTCGTGATCTGGTTGAGAAACCGTATGGCCAACGAAGCGGCGGAAAAATGGCGTCTTCTTCGATATTTGAAGATTGGGCCCCTATAGGCGGTATCGAGGTATGTCTTCTGATACCAATTCGGAATCTGGTCGTCTCCTTCTTTTACCAAATTCCATTCTTCAGCCAGTGCTGTTGCTTCGGCTAGAGAAGGGGTCGCCCACGGAGGGAAGGTGAGGTCGAAAAAGTCGAGAGCGGAATGGGACGAAGACCAACCAGGTTTGCCTAGATCAACGGCTGCTGCAAACTCCTCGGGGTATCGTCCTGCAAAGGCTCGTAGAACTTGGGAAACAGCCTGGTCCAGTAAGTAGGAGTTGCTATTACATCCACTTGTCGCTCTGAGGTCGTCAATGTCGTCGCGACTCCTTAAACAGCCGAAAGTGTAGCGCATTTCAGGGCATCTGGCATCTATAGCGATGCACTTTTCGACCTCAGCTTTTACTGCGGCCATGTGTTTACCTAGATCAACACTCGAAGAATGATACATGTCGGGGGTTATCTGGTGTCGCAAATGTTGTAGAATGGCTAACTGTAAGTGACTGTAATCCATGACAACCACTCCCAGTTATACCGCTTGTTTCTGCCAATCTTTTCTGTAAACAGTAGAGAACTTGATGTTGTTGAGACTGAATAGAAAGTCTTGTGTCTCCAAAGCGATTGAGCGACAGGCCGATCGGAGTGAAATGTCGATGGGCTTTCCGCCAGGCTGAACAAGCTTATTCGTATCACCATCGTAAACGTAGCCACCATCGACCGTGGAGTAGTTTTGGTAAATTTGGTTGCGGAATTCTGAGGGTAGTCCTAGGAGACTTGCCCTGGGAATTTCGGATGATACCATGATGAAACGATTGATGCTGTTGAAGATGGTGGAAGCTGAGATTGAAATCTGGCGGTGGTGTCATTTTATAGACTGTTCACCTGCAGTCAATGTGACTCATACAGCGATATCGCAAGAGCCACTGCAAACAAGGTTGAAGCCAACACCAAGCCACACAATGTTACAGGCGAAAGAAGCATCAAGCTTCTACATCTAAAGGCATTGTATCAACTAGTTAAGGTTTTTCTGTGGAGCGAGTCCTGCAAAGCATGCAGATTAAACAACACAATGATAACCGCAGGTTGTGGACCCGATTGCTATTCAAGGTCCGGTCTCAAGGTATGTATCTCGACTCACAAAGTTAGTATCATGATGATTACCATACAAGCTCTAGAAGAGAGGTTAGTAAAGGAGGGAACCGGTGAAACAGAGAGGCGTCGCTCATCCTCCTCCTTTCACAGGTTAATTTTCAAACACTTTCTCATCGAAATAAGATAAATCCGACCGTACAGCGTGATTGCCGGCGAATTAGCTATGGCTAGTTGTTCGTAGTATGATTGATACATACCATCCTTCAGAGCAACAATCGCCCTTGGGCACGATAGTGCCCGGGAGAGTATCTACAACAACTAAATTTCAGTTAGTAGCAGATCGACCATCGTTATGGAATAGATTGCTTACCGGCCCAGCGATGACCAACATCAATACCACACACCCAAGGTGGATCGAGAAGTCAAAGGCCTATGAATACCTCAAAAAGGATAGCCCCAACAGCAAATCGATCATGAAAGACCACCAGGTCTTTGCTAAATATAAACGATAAGTTAACGCCTGCATGGAAAGCAACTTATCACTCACCGCTGGCCCTTCTTAGCTGCGAGGCCATATCCATCACCATCCATCAATATACCACTCCGGCGATGTTCGGAGCCTTGCTATCTAAGAAGAACGCACTCAAGGCCCTCTATCGCACCGTCACGAGTCGCAAGGATAGCGACCGAGCCGGCAAAGTTGGTGTCACGAAATTGAAAGACCTTAGCTGGTTAGTAATGTCTCAGATAAATCAGAAAAGGAACCTGTCGAATTTGAGTCCGTTGTTAGTGGGAAAGGACTTGAAGACGGGGCGAGGGTAGGTTAGTACCCTGCAAAGCTAAGGGGCTGGCTGCACTCGTCAGATTGCATTCGCTCATGTTGGGATCCTGCGAACAAGAAAGACTAACGGAAGGGTTTGAGGAGGAAGGGGAAAAGCTTGTAATTAACGCCGTGGGTTTTAACACGATAAGATTAATCACAATGGCCTTTTCCCATGTCAAACGGGAGATAAGGCGACCATTTGAAATGCGGTTTTTGTGGGCATATAATCTGATCCACCCAATCAATACCAGACATCTTAAATCAGGCTGTGTTGTCACGCCACATTAGTGGCCTCCCCTTGGGGCCTGAATCATAATTGCAGTATCTCTGGCGTTTCCCCTCATTTCATAGCCTAATCTCATGAAAACCTGGAAAAGACACATCTGGATTCATCCCTGAGCTGCAGGTTTACCAAGATCCAGGTGTGCCATTGCCCTTATTACTTCCGTATTTTCACCCAGCTGTCCCTTTGTGATAAACAAGCTGTCATTCGTGGCTTGTTTTTCGTTAGGAAGCCTCTTATGGACCCTGTTTCCACAATCGGACTGGCTTCTGGAATCTTAACATTCCTCCAAGCGGCCCTTAAACTCACGAAAGTGGCTTACGAGATACACAGCTCACTCGATGGTGTATTAGATGATAACAGGCACACAGAGAGTTTGACGGATCGAGTCAAGGAAGCAGTGGAGAGACTAGATACTGGGAACAGCGGGCTTTTAACAGAACAGCAGAAGTCTCTTCACTTTCTCGCCAAGAAGTGCCAAGTGCTTTCAGCAGAGCTAATCAATGTCCTGAACGATATTAAGCCAAAAAGGAAATCTTCAACTCTCCTCAGGGCTTGGAAAGCCACTAGGGCGATTGATCGGATCAGAAACCTCGAGCGCAGGCTGGGAGATTATCGTGGCCAGCTTACCATGGCACTGGTTGAGTTGGCAAGGTAAGCCCTTTTTAATTCCCCACTTTTTGAATAATGGCCGACAAGAAATATATCTGAAGCCACTAATAACTTTCGAGACCTACTCTCGCTTGGTCAGAAGAACGCAATCCAACTTGAGGCTTTAACAAAAGCCTTAGAAAATTTGCGCCATGGTGAAATTACGGACGAGATCACGGACATTGGCAGCCAGGCTTCCAACCACTTACGGCAACTTCTCAACATCGACAAAGAGGCTCTCCGCGTTATCACACAGCAACATGTCCTGAAGAGTTTGGAGTTAAAAGGAATCAGTAGCAGATATGACGCCATACATGAAGCTCATAAAGACACATTTAAGTGGATCTATGAACCAGTAGATATGGTCACAGATCATTGTAGGTATATTGAGGCCCACAAGGTAACGGTGAATCTCGTGGAACTTCAAGAACTGGCCAACTAAACCTTCTACAGATACAGAAAGAAACCCGGGAAAAGTTTATGGGCTGGCTGTCATCCCCATTGTCAGAGTCTCCAATCTTCCATATATCTGGAAAGCTTGGATCAGGAAAGTCAACCCTGATGAAATTTCTCTATCGCCACGACAGGACCCAGGCAGAGCTTCAAAAGTGGGCAGGTAAGGTGCTCATATACTATATTATCAAGGAACAGACTCTCACCCTCATAGGTTCTAAATCGCTTGTTTTTGCCAATTTCTTCTTTTGGAGACATGGCTTGCCACATCTAAGAACTATATTTGGTCTATGCTGCTCGCTTCTACACGATGTTCTCAAGAAACGCCCTGACCTCATTGCTGAAGTCCTCCCGGAGTGCTGGAAGCAAGCAAAACTGGCGCCATGGCATATACAGGATGAGTTGATCATATCAAAAGATGTTATAAAAAGCGCACTACAGCGGCTCCTCAATAACGAGCGAATCTTTGATAGTCACCGATTCTGCTTCTTCATTGATGGACTCGACGAATTCGAGCCTGGTGTCGATAGTGGTTTGGACTATATTGACTTAGTCAGAACCCTTCGTCTTTGGACAGTTCGAGCAACCGGAAATCTCAAACTCTGCGTGTCAAGTCGGGAGGATCCAGTTTTTATGACTGAATATGAACAAGACCCTGGCTTTCGACTTCAGTACCTTACCAGACTTGACATGCATAACTACGTTCGTGATCGCCTCACAGATATGAAGAATCCAGAGCTTCGAGATGAGTTTGTGCATGAAATTACCTATCGTTCGTCAGGCGTGTTTCTATGGACTCATCTCGTTGTCACCACTATTCGAATTAAGCTGTCGCACGAAGCTAGCGATGCAGTACTAAAGGAACAGCTTAATTGTCTTCCGCGCGGGGCTCAAGCTCTCTTTGAGCATGTTTTGAATAATCTCGAATCGAAGGACCAGGAAAAGACTTTGAGAACAATAAGCTTGTTTCCAGTCGCCAACTCCTGCATGGGGTTATCGTTGCTTGCATTCTCATTCATGGACGATTACGAAAAAGATCCAACGTTCTCCATACGAAACGATCTCACAAACGACAAACCAGACGGAAAGACCCTCCAGAAGCGGCTTCATGGTATTTGCGGAGGGCTAATCGAATGCCACTACGATAATTCCACGTCATCAAATTGGCTTACATTCGTTCATCGATCTGTCCCTGACATGTTCCGTACAAATGCACAGGTACCAGAGTTGAGTAGTCGAATGGACAATGCTCTTGACGAATGGGACGTCGTCGATGCCTATTCACACTTATGCTTCGCTGCTATCAGGGTTTCAGACATGGATGAAATAACAGTGAAGTATAATTGTAGACGTATCATTCGGATGCGCCTCACAGAAGAGGTAGACCAGTCACCATACAGATTCCTAGAGTATCTGTCGACATGGATCGACAATCAATGGCCGATCGTTCCACAACCCGCACGTGAATCGCATTTGGAAAGGCAGTCAAAGTGTGTTTTAGTCCACAATCACACACGGGGTCTCTTCATAGGCTCTGAGTGCACAGGGCCTATTTCGCACAGATTCTTTCTCTGTACAGCCAGTATAGCAGCAGAAGAGGGTCTCGAGGAGTTTTTCGAATGGAAGACTCGAAACGATCAAGATCTTTCTCGCAATCCATTGAGAAGGCCACTGACCGCCCTGGTTGTTCTCGAGTCGCGGACATGGTATTACTTCTTTCGGTATCCGCTTATAAGCATCCATCACAAGAGCGATTTGATCCCAGATCCTTTCGGGTCCACTGGTCCTCATCCCAGCCGCTTTGCAGCTAAATCAGATCCGTTAACAATCTGGCAATTACATGTCGCGCGATTTCTGCTTTCTGGCGGCGAATTCTATACATGGACTTGGCCGGTGCTTGAACGGTTCCTAGAGGAAGGACTTGATTTATACTGTGAAATCCAAGTCGAAACCGACGGAGATGCGGCGGTATGTTTGTCAATTTGCTTCCCAGAAGCGAAAATCTACTACCGTGAAGAAGAACCGAACTATTATGGAGTGGAGATTCTGTTGTTGAGAAATGTTGTGGGCTGTTACGAAAGATGCAGAGGTAAGACAAGGCTCGAATGGGGACAGAGCTTCAACGGAGTCGTTTCGCTTCGCGAAGTGATCGCATCATATGAGTTCAAAAGTCGCAGCCGATTGCTAGAGCTGTTGGACCATAACGACAAAAGATCGATGAACTCCCAAACTAAAACAGATCATCAACCAATTTTAGGTATTTTTCACCCCCAGCACGAATCTGCCTATTAGCTAATCGCCCAATCAGCGTTCGGGGGTGTGGTGGGCATCTTTTGTGTCCTTTGTCTGCTCATATCAATTGTATTTGGATGATAAACCCCAAATAATAATATGTATGACAGCCCTAGAAGAGCTACTTCAGGAAAGAGGGCCGGGACAGCCCGCGTAACTGTGAATCGCGCTTAGCAACCAGGGATGAACTTGATAAACGCCGATGGGATTTATTATATTTGGGAAAGTCGCCAAGAAGCTTTATCGCATCTATGTTAAAGGAAGATAATCCCGAATAACTAGATAGATATCTCTTGCTTAACGGAAACCTGTTGAACCAAGCTTGAGAGTGTGCTTGGCCTCGAAACTTTCGGGAGCTATCTCACGTGATATCCAAGCATCAACAGTGAACGAGCTCAGCCTGGCGTAATCAGAATAGAAGAAGCTCGGTCGGAAGTGACTCGAGGCCATAAAATAGTTGCGTCATCCTTGCATCGATGGTTTTACTTTGTGATATAGCATTCGCATTCATGCACGGCATATTCATCGAAATCAGTGGAATATCTTCGGCTTGAGTTGTCGTTCTAGATTGAAGGAGAGAATGGACATTAACAAATCTGGCTGCTCTGTCAGCATGTCCGGCATTAATCCAAAGGACACCTCTTAGAAATCGAACAGACAACTGACCGGAGTTCGTGCGTAATATTTGTACTCTTCGGCATACAAAAAATTCTTCAAATGTGCCAAGTGTTGATGCCGCACCGGCTCACGGAATGGCTCAGATTCTTCTTGCAGACGCTTACTGACGTTGGGCTTAGGTTTGCTCCTATGCGGAATACACTTGCGGGCTGATCGCCTGAAGTCTTTTGGGATCCTAGTTACAAGGTATTCTCAGAAGTCGCCAGAGCCATGCGAATAATGGCGACTATGATTTAATAACTTATCACCCTCCGTCTATCCTTGTAGAAGCTACACATAAATTCCCTAAACCGTCAACTCTAAAAAGACACGCTAACACAGAAATCTATAAATCATCTTCCACCGAGGCCACCCCAATCTCTCCTCCCTCTCTTGTTCATTCATGATATGCACCCTCGCATACCTCCACCCCGTCTCGACATCCATCTCTTCCACTCTCACAATCCTCGTCCGATACCAAACCTTGTGGCACACGTAAAACGTCAGGATTATCGGTATCGCCAAAACCTTGAGGAAGAAATTCTGCACACCACTGGTGTTGGCGTCAGGCACATATACAGGCGACGCCGCGATCCAGATCTGCGAAGCAAGAACGCCAACGTATCCGATAAACGCACACCACGACCCTGTGACTCCCACGTGTGATGTAAACGGTAGCTGTTCCACTTCCTGTTTGTTTTGATACTGCCACGCTGAGCGGAAACGAATGTGGCAGAGACATATGCTTCCCCATGTAAAGAGTGTGCTTAAAGCGCTGATGGACAACAGCCAGTTGAAGATGGCGTCGTGGGAATCGACATCAGCGAGAAAGGCGAGAAATCCAATACATGATGCGAAGAGGATGGCCATGAGGGGACGCCCTTGACGGTCGACGTACGCAAAGACCTGCGGCGCATGAGACTGCTCCGCCAAAGCAGCCAAAGTCCTCGAAGACCCAAACACAGCCGAATTCCCAACACTAACAACAGCAATCAAGATAACAGCATTCATAATCCCAGGCAAAATCGAAGTACCCGCCTTTTCAATGGCAATAACAAACGGACTGGCCGTCGCATCAGCCACATTATCACCGCCAACGAGACGGCCGTCGTCAGAGGGCACCAACAAGCCTACGAGCAAAAGCGCCACAAGGTAAAAGATCATGATGCGCCAAAAGACTTGCTTTATCGCTGTCGGGAGGGATTTTCGAGGGTTGGCTGTCTCGGCGGCGGCGAGACCGATGAGCTCTGTTCCTGTGAAGGAGAAGGCTGATGTGACTAGTACGCTGCAGAAGCCTTTGAAGCCGTTTTTGAAGGCGCCGGGGTTACGCCAGTATTTGCCGCCTATGTAATGGCCTTCTGGCTCACCACCAATGTTTATCACAATGGCGAGAAGTCTGTAGTATCGTTAGTAGAGAAATTGGGATGCACTGTTGGGTGAAACTCACATAAAGCCAACAATGGCAGTGATTTTAATAAGAGAGAAAATGAATTCGGCTTCTCCATATGTCTTGACGCCGAAGAGGTTGATAACAACGATGGTAAGCAGAAATATAGCCACAAAGACTGATTTGCTAATGGCTTCGTTCCAGTAGCCTATCGTAAAGGCACCAGCGATTATTTCCAAGGGTAGAACAAATAGCCATTGCAAGCAGTAACTAGTATACACCGTCAGTAAAACTCAGATGGGCAGGTTAGAGCAACTCACTTCCAACCCATAGCAAATCCCCAAGACGGATCCAAAAACCGCGTTGAAAACGCCGAGAACGACCCAGCTATAGGAAACGCCACACATAGCTCACCCAGCGACTGCATCGTACAATACTGCATCGCGCCGATGAGGATATATGATAATAACACGCTCGCTGGGCCGCCTCTGTATAATGAACCGCCTGAAGCGACAAATAAACCCGTTCCTGCAAGGTTAGCTTACGAATGAGTACCATGAATGAACGTCTTACCTATAGCGCCTCCAAAGGCAATCATCTGTAAATGTCTCCCCTTCAGTTCTCTCGCCAGCGCTGTATTCGCCGTTTTCGCATTCGCAGCTCTTATATCGTAGAAGCGCTCTGGCGCATCGGTAGGTAAATAACCCGGTCTGGGCTCAGCGCGTTTGAAGCCATCGATCCAACTGTTATTTGTGCCCATCTCTATACGCGCGTCATCATCGTTCATTTTTTTCACTCGTGAGAATGAAGGGGGGGGTTGGGAATGAGAATTGATTTGTCGTAGTTCGTGTGACGAATGACGTTTTATGTTGTCGTAAATGTCGTTGTAAAGATTATTCAGCGACGAAAAAAAAAAAATTCCTGATTAGCTTCTGGAATGTTTCTAGAAGGTTTCTTCGGGTTTGCCACGGGCGTAAGATTGATAGCCGCTAATGGACAAGATCGTCCTGGGAGTGTGATAAAGATAAGTTCATGTTTTGGAGAAACAGAAATTGGAAGAACGGCATAAAAAACATTGCGGGGAAATTACCGGTGAGTGAAAGTGGAGGAAGCGCGCGTTTCAATGGAGATGAGATCAGCGAGTTACCGGGTCATTTCATGCTGTGCTTGGCGATTGTTATCTTATCGCATCACGACAAAATGGCTCAATATGCATGTTGTAGCAGCTCATATCCAGAGAACATGTCAGCTCATCGCAAGATCAGGTATTTCTGCCCATGGGGAATTTGTATCTTATCCACACTGGGTCTGGGGTTGAAGCCATCGTGGTGGGTTTCGCGTTGCTGTTACGTACAGGAATTGGGGTAAACATGTCATGAGAACACACGGACCATCCGAGGAGATCTTAAGAATAAGAGACGAAATAGTCTAGGCATTTTATGGACTCTTAGACGATCTTTAGGTTGCTATATTTTGGCGCCCTAAACTTTGGACGACAATTGTTCTGTCGCTCATGTAGGATCTCAAATCTGACAAAGTAAATGGTGGTATCCAAAAAATATATACAAGAAATTATTAACGACAATCAATTTGAAGGCTGCGCTCTCTGCACTTCCCTCGAACCACCCGCAATAACAGCGGTAGGAGGTTCTCTATACGCAAAATCCTCACGGGGCATATCCATAGACTCCCCCTGCAACTGATCCCTCGTAATCAAGGAATCGTGACTCTGCGTCGGACTAACAGGTCTCTCGCCAGCACTACTCTTGGACACAGAATCATGCGTCTTTGCCCAAATCCCCTCCGTCGTGCGCACAGGCATCTCATCCTCATTCTCCCACTGACTCTGTGCCCGGTTCGTAAGTCTCGTACCCTGCGACTGCGATCTCGAATTCGAATACCCGTCATAACTTTCAGAATCCTTATACTTCTTGCGCTTGACGCCACTGTCGCGAAGGAATGAGCCTAACGCCACGATGTTGCCTACTGCCGTGGCCGCGAGGATCTCTATGGACGCCCACATTGTGCGGACAACTTGACTGCCGTTTGCTTGGATGATGCGTGGGATGCGGTAGAGTGTTATTCCAACCGTCAATAACCCAAAACTGAAGAGCATGATGAGGAGAACCTTGCGCTTGGTGGGGATTTGCGTGGAGAGGATGATGGGGATGGGGAAGGCGATGAGAAGAAGATCGGTTAAGGCGTTGCATGAGCCCATCGTGAGCATCTGGATGAAGGCTTGACGGCATTGAGGGCCTGGGTCGGGCGTGACTTGCCAGTAGTGAGGAAAGGGTTGACATTCCGCGAGATCGCTAACAACGACGGCGAGAAAGGTTGCTGCGAGGGTACCGCGGATGGCGTGGATCATGATGCGATGTGATCTTCGTCGAGTAGCGCCAGCAAGACGCTCAAAGAATTCAAGGGTAGTAAGTTTCAAAACCCAGAGTCTGCACCCGTTAGCAATCATCCTCTCAGTTGGAAAGCCTCACATACACAGCAGCGTAAAATACTCTACTAGCCATAACCATTCGACTTCCGAAAATCCTCTTCTCAATATCATCATCACTCAAATCCAACCCATCCAGATTAACATTATTAGTGCCATTCTTGAGCACGAAATGCACGCATACTGCTCGTAGAATAAGCGGTGCAAGTGCTGCGGCGGCGATGATATCCTCCTTGAGTAATTTCTCGACGCGAACGTATCGACCGGCGAGTCGGGTGAGGATGATGGCTGTGCAAAAGACTGTGATCCACCATGAGACCAACAGCGTCGGTTTATCCTCCTGAAAGTCTCTGATGTCTGGTGCTGTAGAGTAGAGCGACATGGCGGGCTATACGCCCGAGAAGGCCAAAAATGAATGTAAATCGCTGGCAGAAAAGAAAAGAGCAATGAATAGAAAGAGGTGGGGGAAAAGCAAAGTCAAGGGTTCCAGGAATGCGGGACATAATGAATTCCCAGCATTTGGGATGGCGGATGAGTGACAAGTGACAAGGGGTGTGGTCCAGACAAATCATATCGCCGAAGTAGGACAAGACGTTGGGAATGGTCAGCTAAAAAGCGGCGCAGCTAAATCCGCTATCGCACGTCACCCAACCGTTCAGTCGAACTAAGCTAATGTCAGGGGCACGCCACCCATAAGCAATAAAATGACCAACCACTCACACTCAATACGCTGATAAGACAAGTCGAGTTTCAATAACTGCAACTTTGTAAGATAATACTGAATCTTATCATTCCGACGGAGTTATAAGTACGAATGGGTGAGACTATTCCCGATGGCTCGGACATTATCCATGTCGCGTCGTATCATCAAGAATGGCGACAGTTACATTGAAGAGTCCTGACAGCCAGGGGTACCGCATGGCGCCTTCCCAGAATTACCATTTACAGCGAGGTGCATTGCGAAGTCGGCGAGCGGAATCTTTTCCCCTGTGGCGCCATCAATCAATCTGAGGTAAGCGCGTATACAGGTGGACTGATAAAGATATTTGACCGATAAAAAATGAACCAATGATTGAGACTATCACTTGTCGCTGGACAAGATTGGTTTAGCGTTTTGCTGGTGGTTGAGACATTGGCTTGTTCACACGTGGAAATAAGCCCCTAATCACAAGCCAAGATCCGCGAAGGATTCATGGCGCGGTGCAGATGTTTTTCACATGTCGTTGTCTCATATCAATCTCTCGCCAAAACCTGGGGAAATAAACATTTGATCAAAGCATTCCTATTATTCAAGTCTGGGGATCGCCTTGTAAGGCCAGCCAAAGAAAATTGTTGTCGTTACATAAACGAGACGTAAAAGTTTGAGATGTGTCGCTCGTAAAGGTGGAGTGTTTTTCTCGCTCAGTTCAAGGTGGAGTTTTGTAGAGGTGGATTCTCGGTCGGCCTTATTGGTGGAGTAAGGATCCCTGCTCAGGGGATTTTGTCTAATCTTGATGGAGGTTATCAGCTGTCGTCTGCCTTCCTGAATTAATCTAGACTCGGATTTGACTTTCAGCCATTTTTTGAGACGAGCCGAGGATTGAAATTCTGGAACGTGTGTCTTGAGCTATGAGACAAAATGTGGAATGCCACGTTTCTGGGCTTTGGGACTAGGCTTGATTGGGTTGTTGCTCGGGCCAGCTTGTGAAATCTTGAATTTGCCTCTCAATGTTTCCAATCTCTCCATCATATGCTTTCAACAATTCATCCGCAGTGACTCGCCGTTCACTTCAAATGAGGATTCCCATCGCATTATTGAACGTAATTCTTCATGTCTCCTTTCAATAATCTAGCCCCTCTTACCAATATCCAACATGATACCACTCCGCTGGGTCCTCCCGCCATAGCGTCGGCCTTTTAACGATTAGCTTCCCCGAACCGGTAGATCCTCCGGATTGGCGTTCTGAAAGAGTTCAGCTTGCGAACCAAGACCTCGCTAGCCACGCCGATAGCGGAATTGTGTCGTGTGGGTTTCATCTGGAAATAGATTCTTCTAGAGCTGTAGGGTAATTGCTGTGGATGGTGCCAAGGTGCGATGGAATGGGAGGATCTTAGTGGGAAAGCTAATGGCAATTAGGATTTTATGTGGAATTGATCTGCATAGAATGAATATCACCTTGGATATCAAAGTGAATATCCTAGAATTATCCGTTGTGCATCAAGGTTTTAGAGCTGGAGTTTCACAAATGCTGTCAAAAACCGAGACAGATCCCCCGCACAAGTTATAGAGCGAAGACAAACGGTCTGTTATCCAGGTTATAACTGTCACAGAAAAGGAGTCATTAACCCTTACTATTGTTCTTTTTCTCTCAACCAAGCATCTTGTCCCAGGCACAAAAAAAAAAACATACAACAGTGAGGATTCCCC